CTTGTACGATTTCTTTCAGACGAAATGCGAACATTTTGATGTTCCTTCTCATGGGTTTTGGCTTATCGACCGTCTGAGATACTTCTGTGAAGTCCCCTGAGGAAAACTGGCACTCAAAGCTGAGCGGCTGTGAATAATCTGGAACTAAAAGACCAAATGGAAATGTAATAAAATGACACAAGTTTTCGGCTCCGCAAATAGATAGTGTTTTTTCTTTTTTGGTTGTTATTTTTGTTGTTTAGGGTTAATTCCCACGAAGGATAAGTAATAGGTGGTAAACTAGACTGTAGAGCATGAGTATAACTTCAATAAGAGAAAAAGAGTTTTTTTTCTTGTCCACTAGCTGTTTTTCTTTTCTTTTAAAAACATTTCATACCGTGGACACAGCGGGACGGCAGCAAAGAAGCGTGTACTCAACAATTTTAAAGCGTCACTATCCTTTGGAAAATCACTTATTGTATGAGCAATTTGTGTTTCTACCGGTCAGAGAAAGTCATATGGACAAGGTCAAAGTATTATACCATGATAAACTACTTTGTGAGGCGAACAACCAGCCATCCGTGAAGGCTGTGTCAAGCTYGTCGATTCCCTGTAAAAAGGCAACGAGGTTTGGCGATTCTTTGGAGACATCGTGGTATTTACAGACAGTCGCTCTTAAATGATTAGTAAAAGAGCACGGGCCCTTTATGGCCGGTCAAAACTATATCAAAAACAAAATCTTACCAAGAAATAGAGTACAAAGACTGGTACCTCATTAATAACAACCGGATAAATATTACATTGGTCCTCCAGTGCATAGATATAACACATACAACAATTGAAGCTTATCGTTCTGACTTCTTTTAGAATCAAGATCGTTATCGATGTAGTTGATCTGTCATCCCACCTGTTATATGGTCATCTTAACAACAAGTGTTTACAATTCAAACATCTAATCTTGAGACTAGTGAAATAAGATCTGAGAGTAAAGCAAACTCTTCCCTAGGTTTCGGTGAAATTTATCAGGAAGTGCCAGCAAGAAAAATTATCTCTTGCAAAGAAACTTATAAAACTTAATGAGAAGTATATTTTAAGCCACAGGTTTACGATAACGAGGGGAAAACTCAACGAAATTTAATAGGACGTTTGACTACTTAACGAAACTAAGGCGACACATTAGCCGGGCGTCCAAGCTTCGCTTAAATCACCGGCACAATTTCCAAGGATAGTTGATGCATAGACCTTTCCTTTGTTGATTGACGTTGTACTACCGTTGTTTTCTATTCTTTCTTTAATTTTTTTCTCTGGTAGGAAAGCAGACGAACATAACACAAAAACCGACTGAATAACTATGACCAGATAAGCAAAGGTAACGAATTTACAAGCTATGCATATGAAGCAAGGAATTTTAGTGACGTATCTTAGCAAAGTACTTTCAAGAAGTTTCGGTAAATAACTATACTTTGTTTACATGTGGATATTCAACCTCCTTCCTCTTCTCTGGAATTTCCGGGAAATACTGACGAGACTTCAACCGAATTCTTGATCTATAGCAGCGTCTCGTTCATTTATATTTATTGCAATTTAGTCACCTCTAAGTCTGTTGACTGTGTGTGTAGTAGTAGCAGTAGTAGTAGTAGAATCTTTAT